CTAAATTTATAATTCAAATGATATTTCATGTTTCCGTGTTACACATGTTTTATTTAATTTAGTTATATGATTTTGATTTTGTTAGTTTTCTTAATTTTGTTTTTCATATAGTATTGTGGTTTTTATGTGTTTCAGGAAACATGTTCACCAAATATTTAAAAAAAAATTTGGAAAGTTTATATTTGGGAAGTTGTGGACTTATTGACTTTGAAATAAATATGATTTTGTCACAAAATGTCAAAGGATGATTTGTTTTAAAGGAGGGTTAAGGTATAAACCAAGAGTTGGGATTTGTTTTGAAGGGGCACAACTCTAGTAGGATCGAGGGAGACTGCGGGAATTGAGGTCAAAAATTCTACAGGGTATATGGGTTTGGATGGTACTGTAAGTTTGTTTCGATTTATAGTGGATTACTCATTGACAAAATGTCTGACGTTTTCATCCTATTTGGGTTTCTCCGTGATTATTTTTTGTATTCTTTACCGCTTTAATTATCAATTGCAGTATTCAAAGTTAGGATAAATTGACATGTTTAATCAATTAAAAAGTGACATTTTGCTTTTAATTGTATAATTCCGCACGTTAAGGGTAAATATTCGATAATTTAAAAGTTTCGTTATGCATTAAAAACTCAAAACTCAACGGCCACATGGATTAAAAAATAATTAAATTAATGGTTGTATTACTTTTACCATAATAAAATACACTACATCTTGCACAAAATATGACGGGGAAAGTCTGACAAATTAATAGAGATATAAATTATATAATTACGTGGTTGATGGTCTTGTTTTCTGTCTAGAACCAGTCGGGCATTAAAAATTCAGCGTTTTTATCTATTTGTTTCTACATTTGCTTGTGTCTATGATTTATTTATTTATTTATTTTGTTTGTGACATCATTGTTTTACATTTTAATATGTAAATGGTCGATAAGTTTTAGAGCTGTTCTGGATTAATTAAAGGTATCTTGAAAGCACAATGACGTTTTTATCTTATACTATAAAAATAGAACATCAAGAAACTTTAGATAGCAATTCCACTAGTTCCTATGAAGTGCATACACGATTTAACACATGCAAGTAAAATACAAAAATAAAATCTAATCTCGTCTTATATCTATGTTGGATGTTAAACCCAAAATAATAAAGAAGTAAAATAGAGAAATCAATACAAATATTTAACGTGGTTCGACAATATGCCTACATCCACAAAGAGAGAAACGGAGATCTTTATTCAATATGAATAATAAAGTTACGTCAGTAGTTATACTAATCCTAATCCAAGCCCATACAAGACCGTACCACAGGACACCTATTCAGCGTCACTGACAAACAAACAGTGAATTTAAGTCACAAGGCCGATGCTGGAGCGAATGACTATTTTGATCCAGTAAACTTGTATTTCACTCTATATAAACCACATATACAACCATCTCTCTTAATATATTAAATCGCTTTAACATTTGAGTTTAAATTTTTTATCACGTTTTATATTGACCTTTTATACAATCTTATTGACTCACGTTCATGTGTATATTGTGTAGGAATGACGAATGTGATGTGAAGGGGTCGAGTTTGACATACATCCATGTCCCATCGAGAATTTTTCAGGAGGCGGCAAAGGGATGGGAATTTTAAAAAATCCTCAATTAGTTCGGCACTTACTAGTTGGGTCTACTCACAATAGACAATGTGCGAAGGTAAGGTAATGTCAATAGCTAGCGGTGAGTGTCTGTTCAACATAGTGGAAAGTAAATATTTCAACAAGTTCGTAAGGTAATATCTCCGACTTAGGTATGAAAAATTTGCTTAAAATAGTTTTCGTTTGGATGCTATTGCTTTACACCATAAAAGGAATTGGATAATAAATTATTTATATAAATATAGATGCTATCTTGCGTAGCTGCTATTGCTCAGTACCTAGATAAAATATGAATTGTGTAAAAAAAATATTTCTTTTAAATTAATTGAATTTCTAATAATGCTTCTAATATTTTTAATGATTTAATGGATATTATTAAAAAATGTAATTGTGAGAACAAAATTTGTAGTTTTATGTTTTATATAAAATGCAACACCCAACAAAGTAATAGTTGATAAATTATCTTAGGATAAGATTGTCCGCCGCGGGCAGGAGAATGGTTCTCCTGCCCACGGCGGGCAATCTTATCATGTCCACTTGGAGAGAACCCAACGTGGAGTTCTC